CACGGTTCATTGCTCAGTGTTAAGTTTTTGTGTTTTGGTCTGTTTTTCTTAAACTATAAGCAATAGGTCAACTATAATATTTGTTGCATGGAAGGATGTAAGCTGTACATGTCTGCCTGTCATGGTTCATCTGACCTTGACCTCATTTTCATGGTTTATTGGTCAATGTTTAGTTTTCTTGGTTAAGTCTGTTTCTTAGAAACAATAAGCAATAGGTCTACTATATTAAGTGTATTGAATGATTGTAAGGTGTACATGTATTTCTTGTTTGGTGTATATGACCTTGACCTCATTTTCTTGGATCATGTTAAGTTTATGTGATAGTTGTAGTAAAGCTTTATATTTAGGACTATCAACATAGTATCAATGATTAGTAAAGAAGGCGAGACATTTCAGTGTGTGCACTCTTGTTTAACAAAATATTAAAATTTATTAAAAAATTTAAAAAAAGATTTTTTTTAATTATTGCACTTGGGCCAATGAAATATGTGCAAGTGGGGGACATAAGAACTCTTCTTTTATTAAGATAAAATTCCTTGAATTCAATTTTGCATGCCACTAAATGTTAATCAGTCACTGGACCTGTGCAACAGATAATTTTTTACATGCTGTCATAGAGTCGAAATGTTCAAAGATACCAAGTTACAAAAAACCATAATAAACAATCAGGATAGATTGTAGTGGAAAAAACATAGGCTAGCCTAACATGAAGCACTAGCAGGGGAAAGCAACACAAGAAACCAGAAGTTAAATTTTATATGAAGATATGGTGTAGGTAAGCTATCAAAAACAATCAAAATGTGTGTCCGAAATCAGGAAGTTTGCAAGAATTGGTGAAATCCTTAACGGTCATTTTTTTAACTATAACTCCTCTTCTGATGACTACCTTTCAAGAAAAATTTAAAACAAGGAAACCAATTCATAAAGTGTAGACTTGAAATGGTTATGCTATCCTCAATCCCAAGATGTTAACATAAAAAGCCTCTGCACAATCCCAAGATACTGAGTTAAAAGGATAAGCCGCTCAAACCGGTGCTAGGGGCCACCTTAATCTTGCAGTGAGGTGAGAGTTTATTGCTCCGTGTTGTAGGCCTCACTGTGTCTTAGAGACTGGAACAGCAATAAAAGCGCAGTTCTTTTGCTTTTTGTGTTTTTTTGTTGTTGTGCATGTACTGATCAGTGTTCTCCCCAGGGCCTTTTACCATCATGGTAATTTGATGCTGTATTGCTAGAATGTGATCCTATCTGAGATTATTAATTTATAGATTGTGTTATGAATGTGATGCTATAATTTCTAGAAATAAGATGGTACTTTAAAAGTCCCTGTTTACCAGGATGCTATATAAAGTTTGTGGGGAGAACACTGCTGATTTTGTGTCATGGATGGATACCCCATAACCTTTGTATTTTGGGATTGTGCAGAGGATTACCCTGTTAACTCAGCTCCTTGAGATTGTGCAAATGACTGATTATCCTGTTAACACAGCATCTTTGGTATGTGCAGAAGACTATCATGTTATCACGACATCTTGGGATTTTGCAGATGCTTATCCTGTTAACACATCATCTCGAATTTGTGTTGAAGTTTCCATGCGAACACAGCATCTGTGGATTGTGCAGAGGATTACCTTGCTAACACAGCATTTTTTTTATTGTACAGAGGCTTATCCTGTTAACACTGCGTCTTGGGTTTATGCAGAGGATTACCCTGCTAACACTGCATCATGGGATTGAGCAGAAGCTTATCATGTTAACATTGCATCTTGGGGTTGTGCAGAGGATTGTCGTGCTAAAATAGCATCTGTGGATTGTACAGAGGATTACCCTGTTCACATTGCATCTTGGGATTATGCAGATGATTAACCTGTTAACACAACATCTTGGGATTAAAATTGTGGCTGTTAACACAACATCTTCAGAATGCGCAGAAAATTTCCATTAAAATAACATCTGTCGATTATGCAAATGATTACTTTGTTAACACACTAGCTTGGGATTGTGCAGATGCTTAACTAGTTATCACATCATTTTGAGATTGCATCGAGGCTTACCCTGTTAACACAATATCTTTGGATTGTGACGCTCTGGTTCATGCAGAGGATTATTCTGTTAACACTGCATCTTGGAATTGTGCAAAGGCTTATCCTGTTAACACTGCATCTTGAGTATGTGCAAAGGATTACCTTCATAACATAGTATCTGTGGATTGCACAGAGGATTACCCTGCTAACACAGCATTTTTTGATTGTACAGAAGCGTATCCTGTTAACAATGCATCTTAAGATTGTGCAAAGGATTATCTTATTAACACTGCATCCTTGGATTGTGCAGATGTTTATCCTGATAACACTGCATCTTTGGATTGTGCAGAGACTTACCAGGTTAACACAGTATTTTAGGATTGTTCAGAGGTTTATCCTCTTAAAGGAATTCTTTGCAATTTGGATCGTAAGATGTAACACCACCAAATCGGATGTGTTAGCAGGGTTATCATCTGTACAATCCCAAGATACAGTGTTAACAGGGTAATCATCGGCACTATCCAAAGATTCTGTATTAACCGGGTAATTCTCTGCGTAATCCCAAGGTACAGTTTTATCAAGGTAAGCCTCTGCGCAATCCCAAGATGCAGTGTTACCAGAATATTCATCTGCACAATCTTATGATCCTATGTTAACAAGGTAATCATCTGCATGATCCCGATATATTGTGATAACAGAGTAATTCTCTGCACATCAATCCAAAGATGCTCTGTTTTAACAGGGTAATCCTTTGTTAAATCCCAAGATGCTGTGTGTACAGGGTAATCCTCTACATAATCACAAGATATGTGCTTACAATGTAAGCCTATGTGCAATCCCAAGATGATGTGGTATCAGGGTAATACCTTGCGCAATTCCAAAAAGCTGTGTTAACAGGGAAGACCTCTGCACAATCCCAAGTAAGTGTGTCCTCGGTATAATCTAAAGATGCGGTCTTAAACGGGTAAGTCTTTGCACAATCCAAAGAAGCAGTGTTGTCAGTGTAATCGATGCAGTGTTATCGTGGTAAGTCTCTATGAAATCACATAATCAAAAACCCCATGAGTAGGCTCACTTACATCTGATTCAAAAACATAAGCAAATATATTACAGGTACAGTTCCAAAAAGCATTCACACCTGTAACAGATGACCCAATACCTGAAAAGGGCGTCAGTAAACATCCACAGATTCCTGATATTAAAATACGAAAACAGGGCATAGAAAAGCTTCAAAACAATATTAATATTAACAAAGCAGCTGGGCCTGATCTCATCCATGGAAAAATCTTGAAAGAGTGCAAGACATCTATCACCATTTTGTCAATCATATTCCAAATATCACTGAACTCTGGAAAGATTCCAGATGACTGGCGTCACGCAAGTGTATGTCCAGCGTTCAAAAAAGGCGTCAAACACGATCCTATAAACTATCACCCTAATCATTAACATGCATCTGCTGCAAATTATTAGAACATGTTGTAGCTAGTAATATCATGAAACATATAGAAAAAAAATTCTATATGACTTACAACATGGTTTTCGATCATCCCGTTCCTGTGAAACTCAGTTAATATCCTTTATTCAACATCTTGCAAATTCAAATAATAAAAACATTCAAACAAACACCATAATAATGGATTTCGCAAAAGCATTTGACAAAGTTTCACATCATCACCTCATGTATAAAATCGGTTTCTATGGTATAAATTGCAATGCATTACATTGGATTCAAGACTTTTTAACAAACAGAACACAAACTGTAGACATCAAATAAAATTCCTGTAACATTTGGATACCACAAGGCACAGTGCTTGGACCAATTTTATTCTTAATATTTATTAATGATTCGGCAGAATATATTGAACATAATGCATTAAGATTGTTCGCAGATGAAAGCATTATTTATAGGGAAATTAAGAAACCAGATGACACATATAAATTACAGTCTGATTTGGAAGCGGTCGGCAGACGGGAGCGGGACTGGCTCAAGCATTTTCACCCGCCTGGTAAATGTTACATTCTCAGTGTAACACAAAAAGAAAACCTGTAGACTTCACTTACAATTTACTTAATCACTCTCTCGAAAAAGTTGACTCTACAAAATGTTTAGGCCAGACTCTTCAATTAAACTTAAAATGGGATAAACATATCAGTGATAACATGACATCAAAAGCAAACCAGTCTCTTGGATTTATTCGCAGAAACCTTAAAATAGCCTCACCTTAAGTTAAAGCTCGTGCATTTAAAGCTCTTGTCCGGCCAAAATTAGAGTACTGCTCAACCATTTGGGATCCACAGCAAAAACAGCAAAGTTCACAAATTGAAAAAGTTCAGAGAAGAGCAACCCGCTTCACATGCAACCGCTTCCATAACACCAGCTCAGTTACTGAATTGATGACAGACTTAAATTGGTACCCACTTGAAATTAAGCGTTTAAGATACAGACTTGTTTTCTTCTACAAAATTATACACGAAATTGTTGCAGTCCCTTCATTTAACCCTTTGATCCCACAGTGCACTAGACAACAGAACCAGACATAGCAATCCACAGGCTCATTTAGGCAAATACAAACATCTTAAGACATTTTATGAATATTCATTTTATCCACGTACAGTTATAGATTGGAATCATTTGCCATACCAAATAGTTTCATGCAGTACAGTACAGGGATTCAAGAGTATGATCTCAGAATCTGCTCTCATCCTATTTTCTACCCTTAACTATTATTAATATTGTCATCAAAACTTTTTAGTTTTAGCTTAATGTTATTTTTCAAATGTACATAGGGCTCTATATTATTTTGATGTTTGATTTTGTTTCTTTTTTCTGGTTACCTTGTAACTTATAAATCAAATTTTATAGTCGACGCCCGGCGTATAATCTTCAATAAACGAAGGATCTTAAAGAAGAAGGAGGTTCTCCTATCTATTTGGGAGGATCATAAAGTTTAAAAAAAGTAAATAAAGTTAAGGTGCATTGTGGGAAAATTAAGTAGTGAAGCATGTAACCACGTTCAGTTATTTTAAGAAGATGAATGTCAAAACATGACATTGAAATAACATTTTGAAAACGTACCTAATAATTGAAATCTTAAAAAGTCGTTTCATTTAGCTGTCAAATTTGGATTGACATGAAAGAAAAACCAAATTCAATAAGGACATATGATGCCGAAGGCTTCCGTCGTCGTGCATCATGTTTATGCTTCAGAGATAAAACAGAGCAAGAGGTAGCGTAAACATTAATATTTAATTTTTCAGTATTAAAATTTGCTAAATAATTAATTGCCAGACTTTGAAATGCAGTTTAACATATTTGCATCAACATTCAAGGATCATTTCATGATGTATGTACATTATAAATAATTAATAATTTTCTTTTTCTTATAACTGTTGTTTAATAATTAATTCTTTGGTTTTAAAACCTTATTCTCGTTCGATTTGGACATTGATATTGCGCTTAAACGTATCCCTTTGATTATTTTTCACAAAACATGATCTTCACTTATGACAGCTATGTTAATGTTGACATTATCATTACTTGTCCTATTTTTTATCCAATGAAATTACATTATTTGTTGTTGTCATCTAAAAATAGAAAAACACATGGTAGTGTTACTGTTTTCATGTCAACACATTTGTTTTGCTTGTGAACATGTGTGGTTAGGAGCAGTAGTATGTGATCAGGTTTACAATAAGAGGGAGAAGATGGTTTGCAGATGTAAACATAGAAAGAGATGTGTGAAAGGGGTCTCTTTTGTGTGGAACAATTAAACAAATAATTACATGAGATTGTTGAAGGTTCATTGGTGTAAATTAACAAAGTATGAATATCATGAATAACAGAATAATGTAAAATACATATTTATATGAATACATACATATAAATATCACAGACAATTATTGTAATTTGGTTTAACTTAATTAAAATTCAGACTGTGTAAAACTAAATATTCAAGACACATCTACAATGGAATGTGCATTCATTAATTTAGTGAACTGTACATCGTATGTAACATATACTTGAAGAAAAACAGTTTCTGTGACCAAGTTCCACATATAAAGCCTGTGATATTGTTTGCCTCAAATTACATCCGAAATTCGGCTTTTTCCCCTAGAGAAAATTCCCAATTACTAAAAAAAATGGCTTAAAATTCCTCCCAATAAGTTTTACATTTTTCCCAAAGGTGATGGCAATGGTAGTAATGAATGTAAATTTCATATTGATGTTATTGTTTTGATATTATGAAAGCACTTTTGAGTTCCAGGTTTCTGATCAGAATCATCATGGTGTTTGTAACACATGTGGTTTTCAATGCATTAATTATCATCATTGTTTCCGTCTCTTCCCCTCCCCAAAAAGTACCTTTCAGGTTGACTGACAATCAAAATATACGTGATGAATTTCATAAAACTGTGCAAAAAAGACAGTCAAGTTTAGCAAAAATCGGAGATGGGTTTAAAAAAAATAAACCCAATTTCCCAATTTCAATAAAAATTATGCATTTTTCCCAAAAAAAAACGGTAGAGGTAGTTTTGAAAAAAGACAACAATATCACTGAAAGCTTATAAAGTTAACTGTGAACATTAATAGTTGGATTATACCAATCTTTAAAATAAGTTATTGTTTCAAGTACATACATGTAAATGGTAAAATTTATTTCTAAACTTGAATTAAGTTTTTCCACAATGTAGTTTATAATTCAATTTCTGAAAATATAATAAGAATAGGTAAATGATATAATAAAACCATAAGAAGATGTGTTATGATTGCCAATGAGACAATTTTCCTCCAGAGACCAAATAATGTACAAGATTATTCAATGCTCAAGTTATTTTCAAACTTCAGTTGTTGCAAATTATCATACACATTCCTGTCAACTGACCCGGATCCTGCGGGTGTGACCCGAGATTTTCACAATTCTGAGGGGTCACCCGGAACACCCGCCGGGTGACCAAATAACCCTGGAATTCAGAAAATAACCCGTTTTCACCCGGATTCCTTAACCTTCAGACTGATTAGATATAAAGTGATTTCAATGAAATACCGGCAAATTCGTAATTCTTCCTGGACAAGAAGTTCAACTAGCTGTGTAAACTCAGCTCAATTGACCCATTTCAGTGCATGGCTTCACTTGCTTTGGTGTCAAACACACTGTTAATTAACACCAATTACCTTAGCTTTAGGTCGTAAAAAATTTGTGTATTTCAAAGTTGTTTTTAAAAACAATTTGAGTTACTTCCCCTTATTTGTCAATTCACAATATACTCCTTAAACTTATGTTTTTTTTGTAAAATGATTAAATCTAAAATGAATTGAATGCACAAACATATCAGAATAATACTTTTACTTATTGTTCTACCTTAGAACAATTAAAAAATAAAAATTTTGAAAATTACTTTTTTCATCTATACCTCCTTTAATTGTTTAACTTTATTTTATTATATTCTAATATCAACATATGATATGTTGTACTGTTTAAAAGCTGCACAAATGAATGTAAAGAAAACACAAATTGGCACATGCATTGTATGTCATGGAATGAATATGGACAGGAATTAAGGCAATGTAACACAAAACTATCAATGGCCTCCAGGTGCAATGAAATAATAATATGTTCAATTTTAAATTACTTAACCATGTGGACATGTTTTGGAAACTTTGATATAAATTATAAGAAAAATGTCCCCTAAATACTGAAATTCAGCTCGAAAAAGTTCGTACGCGTTATGACCTGAGATTTCATTCTTCTATGCAGGTCATCACCTGCATTTTCATTGTCATAGGTTGACAGGTATGCATACAGATAGTGGACAAAAGTGAGTTCCCACTCAAAAAATGTCCTATCATTTCAACTAAAATCTATATTTTACAAAACAATATTACCAAGTAACTACATGAATGATTTATATCAAATAAATACCATAAGATGCTGAAATGTCTGCAGTTTTATTGATTATTTGCCCATAATTTTTGTGAGGATCGTTTTCATTTTCTGATGGAGTAAACACAAATGCAAATTTTTACGATTTTATTTTGGTTAGAATGCATAGCAAACTTTTCCAAAAATTTTTTTTTTTGTGTTCACCTCATCAGAAAATAAAAGTGAGTCTGATTAATATTATGGCCAAATAAACAAATAAATTTTAAACATTTCTACATCTTATGGTATTTAATTTTAAAAAATCGCACATAAAGTTACTTGGTAATATTTTTTTGAAAAATATTGATTTTAGTTGAAATGATTGGACATTTTTTGAGTGGGAACTCACTTTTGTCCAAAAAAAAACTAATCTGTCATTCTGACAAGAAAATAAACTGATTGATAGAATTTTGAAATAAAACATGAAAAGATAACTGTTATAAAATGTTTTTAGAAAATAAAAAGAGAAAAAATGAGGCCACTGCCTCTCTTTCTTGCTACATGGACACATTTACAATATATTAAGTTATTTGAATTATCTCTCCCTTTAATTAAAGTTTTTATATCTTTTAATATTTCAACAATTTTCTGTATGTTTATAGTGTATTTCCCACAAATAAATTGCATTGCTGCATAAAAATTGGCTAATTACAGAAAAATTTCTAACTAATCATTTCTAAAAAATATTTCTCTCATGTATAGTACATTTGTGCATGTACTTATGAAGTGTCCTTTGCAACAGTTGTACTTGTGCTGTCATTAAAATTGTTTTTTTTACATTTGACATGTTGGTGGGGGGAAGGAAACTCAAATTTAATAAAACATATCAGTATGCCAACTTCTGTTATAGCTAATGTTATTTTATTATAATTACTAGTAAAAAGCTCTTGAACGGATATTAAAAATGCCTACAACTGTAAGAGTACAAGCATTTTATGTTTGAAGTATACTTGAAAATGAGAATGGATAAACACTTGAGTTTGATAGAGTCCTTTTTTTTTTACACATATCTGTCTTATATAAAAACTCTTGATTTCACATTGTTCATGTATTTTACAGCTTCATGTCCACAGCTTTATTCACATCTATAATACTTAAATAACGAGGTCCAATTTGTTAGCCGGCATGGCGTAAAAACGAATCAAAGATTTCAACTTTATATTTAACTAATATGACAATGGTGTAGATTACAAATTGCACCATTCCAGGCCCTTTTGTTTTCCACATTATCAATATTACCAATAATTAACAACTTCGGGGTCGAATCCGATACAGATACCAATAGTATATGTCACATGTAGTTTCCGGTTGTAGTATGTACGTATGTCATGTATCTTCCTCCTTTGATAGGAGCATCACCATGGATTATGGTGTTAAGGAGGACATCAAAGTTCAAATGAAGTGAATGTAAGCAATTACAGGCAACGGTACAGCCTTCAACACTGAGAAAAAACCATACCGTATGGTCGGCTATATAAGACCCCAACATGAAAAATCTGAAAACTAACGGCCTAATTTATAACAAAAAAATTTATGAAAAAACAAATATGACAGACATAAACCAACGACAACCACTGAACCACAGGCTCCTCACTTGGGATAGGGGTAGGGTTAAACATGTTTGTGAGCACTCAACCCTCTTCATAACCTGGCTACCCAGTTTCCCAGCCTGGCCATCCTCAAAATATTAAAAATAAAAAATATAAAAACATGTAAGAAACCAGGACAGGTTCAAACAGAAAGATTTTGAAACCAGAGAAAACGGTGTACAAATACAATCAGCATGACTTGATCAGATGACAATACGAATACTAAAACTTGCTAAAATAAGACATAGGCACTTTAATTCAGTCAGGGTCCCGCGATGTCACGGGTGTGTTCTAGTTTTTATTGAAAATTAAAGTTGTTTTTAAACAGAACAGTGACTGAAGACTTTTAGTCCAATCTGTTAATTCCATGTTTACAAATAAAGTTTACATATATTGTCTCCTGGAAAACTGCTTCTGTTTTGAGTGAACTTGACAAAAACGCTACTGTTTATGTCACAGCTCATTTTAGGGTCCTCTTTGTATTCTGCTTTAAACCATCATGACCATGTTGATTTTAAAAAAAATCAAAGACAACGAATGAGTTTTGAAAAAAAAAGATTAAATGCAAGGTAAAACAATATATATTGCTTATTGATACTAAATTGTATTTATATACTGTATGCATGTATCTAAAAGCATCTTCGTCAAGTGTTTTTGTGATTTAGACTTTTCTTACAAATGTAGATAATATCATAACAGTAATTTCTCTGTTTAAGTCTCTCTGGTCCCTTTTTTTAAGAAATTTAATAAAAGCATCATTGCCTAATTAAGAAATCTTTTGTTCTAGTCTAATAAGTAGATTAGGCTTTTTATGGCTTTTGGGGTTTACATTACCTTTACCTCATTTATTATTCATTGATCTTCTTAAGGTTTACATAATTAGGTCAGTTTTTCAGTTAAAGTTTACTATGAGTAAAAGCTATAGGACTACTACATTTTGTCAAAAGAAGTATTGCAAGTTGTAATATCCATCTGACAGGGTTCCTCTGGCGATAATATCATTTTCATTGTTTATTTAACGTGTTTTCTCGATACATGTAGTAAGATATTTTTCTGGAAGACTGTCAGCATGTCTATCAGTTCTAACCAATTAAACAGCAAAGTCCCTGATTGTTGTTATTAATTATTAGCAGAGTTGCAGCAAAGTTTAACTTGGCTGATAATATTCATCCTGAGTGATGTTTATACTTGACTCAAAAATCTGTTTCATCTACTACAAATCCATAAAGAATCGGCTTAAAAACACCTTATACTCATGTAATTTTATTTGTTTGATGTCAGCAAGAAAGATAAAAGAACCTTTTGTTCTTGCATTATTCCCTTAAAAATATATGATAAAACCGCTGAAAGGCATCATATCTATTGAAAGGCAATCTGGCATACTTATTTCTGCTTACTGCTGAAAGGCATCATATCTATTGAAAGGTTACAGTCCGGCATACTTATTGCAGTTTATTTTTCAGATATTAACTTGTGTGTATAGTATTTGTGACAAATGTGTCATATTTGTCACTTAAAATGACAGTTGACCACCTAGTGAGAATACAGGGACCAACAATATCTTTTTTTGTAATTGGCCCGAAAATTAATTATACAGGTGTCATGCTTAATTCTGACAACACGTTACCTCATATATTATTTAGTGCATAAATGTTTCTTGTCAGTTTATGTATTAGAGTAGATGTAAAGTAAATATATATGAACAGTTCGCAGTGTAAATGGTTAATCAATAAGATTGATATATACTGAACATGCTGACGAAAACAAAATAGATAATTTCCTGTAATAGGTGTATTATTTGTAGGTTATTGAACCTACAATTTATGGGCTACTTGATTATAGAATCAACATCATTAATCCTACTGAGATTATACTGTTTACCAGTATGACATATACAACTGTAAGAGGGTATTGCACTCATTTTATTATATATTTGATATTTACTTACTATATTTTTTCAAGTATACAAGGCTGAACACCTGTATAGAAAAGTAGTCTTATAATTTTTGTCATGTAGAACACTTATAAACAGGTGCGGATCCAGCCATTTTAAAAAGGGGGGGGGGGGGGGGGGTTCCCAACCCAGGAGAAAAGGGGGGTTCCAACCATATGTTCCCATTCAAATGCATTGATCGGCCAAAAAAAAGGGGGGGTTCCAACCCCCGGAACCCCCGCCTGGATCAGCCACTGCTTTTAAATAACATATATACACATATTAACAAACACATAAGCAGTTGTCTAGGTATCAAGTCTCCCCCTTTAAAAAAATCTTTGACTTAATTACCTCAAAAGAAACTTAGACCATTTAATAGTAATATACATGTATATAGAAAAGTCTAACTTTTAAAGAAAGTACTTTTGTTTTCATAAGCATGCAGATACTCTGGCCTCATTGTTCCTGCAGTATCTTTGGTCAGTTGCAAATGGCAAGGTACACATGAACTACAGACATGTTTGTCTGTTTGGAGAGTGTTTTTTATGCCCCCATCGTAACAGAGCCGTTACGGAGGGGGCATTAAGTTTTACCCTTGTCTCCATCCATACGTACATCCTTCCATCCGTACGTCCCAAAGCTGGTTTCCGTTCTCTTAACTTTAGTTTGCCTCAACCAAATGTTATGGAACTTATACACAATGCTTTTTACCACATAATACAGATCAAGATTGAAATTGGGTGACGTCACTTTTACGGTTCTTGAGTTATGCCCCTTTATAAACATAAAAATTGCTGAATTTTTCGTTTCCGTTCTCTTACTTTGGTTTGCCTCGACCAAATGTTATGAAACTTATACACAATGCTTATTACCACATAATACAGATCAAGATTGAAATTGGGTGACGTTACTAATACTTTTAGAGTTCTTGAGTTATGCCCCTTTATAAACATAAAAATTGCTGAATTTTTCGTTTCAGTTCTCTTTCTTTAGTTTGCCTCAACCAAATGTTATGAAACTTATACAAAATGCTTTTTACCACATAATACAGATCAATGTTGAAATTGGGTGGCGTCAATTTTACTGTTCTTGAGTTATGCCCCTTTATAAACATAAAAATTGCTGAATTTTTTGTTTCTGTTCTCTAACTTTAGTTTGCCTCAACCAAATGTTATGAAACTTATACACAATACTTATCACCACATAATACAGATCAAGGTTGAAATTGGGTGGCTTCATTTTTACGGTTCTTGAGTTATGCTCCTTTATAAACATAAAAATTGCTGAATTTTTCGTTTCCGTTCTCTAACTTTAGTTTGCTGCAACCAAATGTTATGAAACTTATACAGAATGCTTATTACCACATAATACAGATCTAGTTTGAAATTGGGTGGTGTCAATTTTACTGTTCTTGAGTTATGCTCCTTTATAAGCATAAAAATTGCTGAATTTTTTGTTTCTGTTCTCTAACTTTAGTTTGCCTCAACCAAATGTTATGAAACTTATACACAATGCTTATTACCACATAATACAGATCAAGGTTGAAATTGGGTGGCGTCACTTTTACGGTTCTTGAGTTATGCCCCTTTATAAACATAAAAATTGCTGAATTTTCGTTTCCGTTCTCTAACTTTAGTTTGCCTCAACCAAATGTTATGAAACTAATACACAACGCTTATTACCACAAAACACAGATCAAGTTCAAAATTGGGTGGTGTCACTTTTAGGGTTCTTGAGTTATGCCCCTTTATAAATAAAAATTGCTGAATTTTTCGTGTCCGTTCTCTAACTATAGTTTGCCTCAACCAAATGTTATGAAACTTATACACAATGTTTATTACCACATAATACAGATCAAGTTTGAAATTGGGTGGTGTCACTTTTACAGTTCTAGAGTTACTTGCATACTTGCAGATCTTGTTAGTAACAAGTAGTAAAGACAGAGAGAAATATGTTGTTCCTGGTGGTGGGATTGAACCTCAAGAAGAAGCAAAGGCTACAGCAGAAAGAGAGGCCTTAGAGGAGGCTGGAGTCAGGGGAGATCTAGGTCGTTACATTGGAACATTTGAGGTAAAGTCTAAGGGTAATTACAATGAAGATTGGTTTAAAGTGAGGGATTTAGGTATTTAAACATGTGCCTTAGAAAATTTGAAGTTATAAAGATTGAGATTCTGAGGTGGACAATAATGGAAGTAATATAACAATTATGTTTGTGAGTCAAAGTTTAGTAATTTGAACTTGTATTTTTTGTTTTGATCAACTATCTGTTGTTTTTTTATCATTTTTTAGGGACAATCTCATGTTAATTATATAAGGTAGAAATATGAATGAGACATAATATATATACAAACCTGAAATTATGTTTAATTATTTTTAGTTACATTTAGAAATATATAGGACAAATACATTAAAGGGAAACTATAATCAAATACAAACTGATTATGCACCTGATCCATTCATTTCAGATGACCAATTGTAATTTTTAGTCTGATAGGTCAACACTATCATGGCTTTTGAATGTTAAGTATGATTTTCTGGGTCTGTTATGACATATATATTGGAAGCATTACAGGAAGCAATATTTCAGTTTGATGGTATTAGTCAACAGTTGTATAATATATATATCATATATACCATATCTGTACACACAATATTTTATTCTACTTTTATCACATTCTATTAACTTTATTTGAAAGAATCCTTTCTCAAGTTTCCAAGAGAAATCCTGTAACCATCAATTCCATATGGAAATTGCTAAAAAAAAAGGTGAATATAATCTCAGATGGGCTTGTCAAAATTTAGAAATATTAGCCTCTCGACTAACTGAATCAAAATCCTACTAATACGCTTGTTTATTTAACCAAAGAATATGTAAATGATTTATTATTGATCAGACTGCCATACATAAACTGATTTTTTAGGTGAAATTACTTCCATCCTGATGTTTTTAAAATTGATAATGAAATGAAAACACAACATTAATGATTGACAACACCTGACAACAAAAGATGGGTTAAAAACATGTTTATGTTTATATGTAACATTCTGTGTAGTGTAGTAATAGCTTATTTATATGTACATGTATTATATATGAACTGATATTAAGTTCTCTGTAGCTCTTTACTAATTTATGAGACTAAAACCATTTATTCATTAAATGATTAGTGACCCAAACATGCACATCATTTGTTTCCATCTTTATATATTTTTTACCATTATTGTCACCTTTTGATTGATTGATTGATTGATTAATTGGTGTTTAAAGCCACTTTCACCACTATTGTGCTATTTCGTGGAGGTCTAGTTTTAATTGGTGGAGGAAGCCGGAGTGCCCGGAGAGAACCACCGACCTTTGGTAGGAAAACTAAGTCAATTAAGATTGGAGTCGAGTGCACCTGCCCCTCACAGGATTCGCACTCATAACCTCAGTGTTGATTGGCTAGTGATACAGTAGTTGGACTACTTAGACCACTCGGCCACAGAGGCCCCTTGTCACCTTTTGGCTTCAGTTTGAGTTCAAATTCAATACTTAAGCTAATACAAAAAACATCAAAGAATTCAAAGAATTGGATGTATCTTCTCAGCAATTTTGTACAATTGCCAGGCTGGTTGTTACCTCCCTGCCCCTTTTAAAGGAATAAATCTGTTTAAGAAATTTAGATATTTTCAAGGGGAACATCTGGTGACACAACAGAATGTCAAACTGGAAACAGAATTTGTTACTTTATTGTGTATCCATTTCTAATAAATTCTTATGCAATACAAACACACACACACAAGTCTTGATGGCATAATGTAAGAGTATATATATATATATAACATGTTATATCATTCTTTTGATTGCTTTTTGTTTGCAGAATAAAGAGAAGAAACATAGGACATTGGTATTTGCATTTATAGTAACAGAATATTTAGATGACTGGGATGACAAAAGATCTATGGGTAAGTTACTTGTCTACATAATTCTATTTCAGTCTTAATTTTCTTTAATAGCAGTCTTCAAGCTGTGAGGGGGAGGGATGGGGGGGGGGAGGGGGTCCCTGATTTACACTTTCTTCTACCAACCCCCACTGCCCCCTTATCCCCCCTTAACCCTGTCAAACTCATCTATATATGGCATGGGATGAGCTGTAAAATTTGACATCATTATTCATATCTTATATTATCCTGTAATAATAGAAATTAAAGACAAATTTCTGTGGTTGCCCTAAAATTGTGTTGTGTATATCGCCTACTTTAATATGGTTACATTGTAAGTTAAGGTTTAGATAAGGGTAAGTTTAGTGGAGACTGTAATATAAGATATCAGGACTAAATTACAGATTGACAGTACATTTGATTTATTTAAGCAAGTTTATTTTAGATTGAACTTGCATGTAAACAGCTAAACCACAGGACATAGTGGATATTAGAACAGTAATTGATATGATTTCAGTTGAAGTGGTGATGTAATAATATTGATATGATTTATAACTTTTACTGATTTATAAAGATTGTTTGTTCATAACATTGTGCACTTGAAGTGAATATAATTATGTTGCCTTTGGTGTGTACACATATTTGTCTAGATATATATGTTTGTAACATTTGACTTGTTGATAGATAATTAATATTATTATTATAAATAGGGAACTATCCAAAGGGGAAAAGGAGGATAGCATGTTTTGAGGAATATACATCATCATGATGTATTTTTCAGATTAAGATGCATGTTTTTGCTCCAAGCCCAATGATTTGTAACGTGTTTGGCTTATAAACTATCTGTTCGTATCCGTTTTCACAGAATCTGAGATACTCCAATATCAATCTTTTACTTAACTCAAAATCTAACTACAACTTGGAGGCTTCACTAAAAACTACGAGACCAACCTTCAAACTTTGAAACTTAATAAAGAAACAACAATATTTACACAATTAACTTTGTATCAAAAAGTAGTCTAAAAACTATAACCTCAATTTATCCTTAATCCTTTCACTGACTCCGAGGTCCCAACCGATTTGCTCAACAATTATAACCTTTCAAAAACTATAAGAGGACAAGCTTCAAAACCATAGGTTCCTGAGACACCTAGTTCTGAGACACCTAGTTTTGGAGACACCTAGTTCCTGAGACAACTAGTTTTGAAACACCTAGTCTCCGAAGCACCGAAGTCACCAGACAACTTGATGATTTTATGTTAAAACTTGATATTTTTTTCCCACTGGTGGGGGGTGGGGGGGGACTTTAATTCCTATATGAAGTTGAACACTCTGGAATGTTGAATGGGTTCCTTAATTTTTATGTTATGTCAAATAATTATATCAATGGGTTATAATTTCACCATGGTAAAATGTGAATTGGTCAGTAATTTTCATCTATATCTGTATACATGCCCTTTAAATCAAATTAAGTGAAAACTGAGAAATATATGAATGGGCTATGATTTTGCCATGAAATATGTTTATGGGTCATGATTTTCACAAGACTTCAATATATGAATGGTTTTTTTTTTTAAATCCCAGCCGCACATCTGTACCCAAAATTCAATTTTGAGACCCCCCCCCCCCCCACTTGCATGATTTATTTTTTGAAAATAAGTGCATCCCATGCCCCATGCATTTAATCCTGGAATAGCCCTAAGATACATTCTTTTAAATTTTCAGTTTTGTCTCATTTTGATGGGCATATTAAGATAATTTTATCTTTTTCTTCATCAGTTTTATAAATAATAATCTGTTTAGATTGTGGAAAAGTTTTGAAATTCTCTAGAGCATTCAATTATTGAATGATAAATACTGATTTCATAATATATATTGTATTATAATATAACTTACAATAATCAAACACTTCATAGTTTAAGATGTTTAAAAGAACATTGAGACTTTTAACAAGTAATAACCATCAGCTGTGGAGCACACTGCAGCACTAGACTGGATTCCAGCTATGTATAATCACCTTGTTCTATACATAGACAGGTGGAGGCCGACTCCATTTTAGTACTTTTTTTAACTAAACACCGCACAATCAGTCGCGCAGGAGATTCTGGAAGTTATTTATGCTGCCATTGTTTATTGTTGTGGTCAGTTACCAGTGCATGCTGGGAGAAAACACTCGACATCACTATTTTGATGACGTCAATATTTTTAAACTTAGAACAACCACGATTTCAAATAAAAAGATGGCATTGGACCCTACCTGTCTTGATATATGAAATATGTAATATGAACATTTATCCAGTCTAGAACCAGTCTAACTGCAGCACCAGACTATTTCTACTGTTAATTTCATTTACTGTAGATAGATACCAGTTTTGTGGATTTTGAGGCTAATAGGAAACCACTAATTTAAATGCTTTACAAAATACAAATTTTAGTGACTTTGAAACAAGCAAACAAATAATGAAACAATAAAATTAGGTACCCTCAAAATAACAAAGTTTTCTTCAACTGTGTAAAATTGATACCATGAACAAACATATGATCCACAGTATAATTTTGTTTTCAATTTATTTTCGTAGGATAGGCAAACAAAGGGAATTTAGAATTCCAGGAATCTAATTGTCTTTGTGCATGTTAGCCATACAACACCTACAACACATATCAGGTTTAAATTTTGCTATCATTACAGCTGCAGTATGCAAGACATAGGTATTACTATCCGGTGGCGACAGCGTAAACTATTTGTATAAAGCTTTATATATCAGAAGGTAGAAGACCTGGATGCTTCATACCTTGTATGCAGATACCCTATGTTCTGTCTGTCATATGCCCATTGTCCTTGACCTCATTTTCATGGTTCAGTGACTGCTTGAAAAAAAATTACAGTTTTTTTGTCATGTGAATTTCTCACTTATTATGAGTAATAGGATAACTATATTTGGAATATGGGTTCCTTGCAACGTCTACATGTCCGTCAGACAGGGTTAACCTGACCTTGACCTCAATTCATGGATCAGTGGTCAAGGTAAAAGTTAGGTGATTAGGTCCGTTTCTCAGATACTACAAGCAGCAGGTCAACTATATTTTGATTTATGGAATGATTGTAAGGGGTACATGTCAGACTGGCAGGTTTCATCTGACCTTGACCTCATTTTACTGGTTCATTGGTCATTGTTATTTTTTTGTGTTGTGGTCTGTTTTTCAAGTACTGTAAGCAATAGGTCAACTATATTTGGTGTATGGAATGATTGTAAGGTGTACATGTCTGTCTAGCTGGTATCATCTGACCATGACCTCATTTTCATGGTTCATTGGTCAATGTTAAGTTTTTGTGTTTTGGTCTGTTTTTCAAGTCCTGTAAGCAATAGGTCAACTATATTTGGTGTATGGAATGATTATAAGGTGTACATGTCTATGTGACAGTTTTTATCTGACTTTGACCTCATTAATTGCCATCTTTGACCTTATAATTGCCATGGATCTTTAAGAATGTTAAGTTTATGTGATACTTGTAGTAAAACCTTTATCTTTAAGACTTTCAACATAAAATCAATGGTCAGTAAAACAGGCAAGACATTTCAGGGTGTGCACTCGTGTTGATATATGAATAGGAAAAACAGTATGGTTGTAGTTGGGCAAAAGATGGTCCCAGTGATATTTTACCTAAAAGTTGCATAATTTTTAAACAAAAAATTAAGTAGGGGGTGTAAAATAAATGGAATCCTCCTTTCCAAGATGTGCCATGCAATTCTTAAACAAAAAACTAAGTAGGTGGTATAAAATACATGGAAGCCTCCTTTCCAATATATGCCATGCAATTCTTAAACAAAAAACTAAGTAGGGGATGTAAAATACATGGAAGCCTCCTTTCCAAGATGTGCCATGCAATTCTTAAACAAAAAACTAAGTAGGGGGGTGTAAAATACATGGAATCCTCCTTTCCAATTCTTAAACACAATATAAATTACAGCCTTTCTCTATAATTATGCAATAAGGAAAATAAAAAAAATATTAGAAAATTTGAAATATCTACATCTGAAATAATTTAATAGATAATTTACCTAATGATAACCTACAGATAATGATTGCTATTGCTGACTCAGTAAAACAAGATAGAATAGAACACAAACATAACATGTTGCCAAAATGGTTTTATGAATTGGCATTCAGGTAATGTAAGTTTTTATTTCCAACAGGTGCACTAGGTGTATATAAACATATGTAAAACAAGTGGTCATATTTATGTAAGCAATTCATTGATTTACAAAATAACACTATTTGTTTTATTTCATGAGTAGTGCATGCAATATACATGCAATTAATTTTATTTCCAGTTTGAAATTACCAAAATTTGACAGCTGAATATTGATTTACTACAAGACTGTTTGATTTTGTTTTTTTTAGACTTTGACTGAGCATGACATATTGCATTAGGAGTAATAAGTTTAATCATAGAGAATAGAGTGAGAGGTGAACTGAAATTTTGGAGAAACCTGTGAGTTAGGCTTTTATTATCATCAGGCGATGTTAGTAAGGTGCAACATCATATACTTTACTATATTTTATGAGAAATTTATTTATAATTTTCTTCACTTTCTTCCATAATAGTATCTAGTGTCTAGAATATGGATAGTTATTTGGGTAAACAGAAAAAATAAAATTCCAGATCTACATTTAAATCATCCTCTTGTACTTATTTTATAATCTGAAGTACTGCATAGAATAATAAATTTTGTATGTTCAATGCATTTGTAATATAATAGCAATGCATTTAAATAGTTGTAAGTGAAAAGGAACAATAATTCTCCTCAATGTCTTCAAAATGATATACTACACTTCAATTGTATTTCAAATCCAAAATCTTACGTCTCTTGACAGTTGACATTGACAAACGTTTTGAAGTTGATCATTACATAAGCCTGTTGATGAATGACAGCAAATTGTGGAAATAAAATTTCTTGCTGAAGATATGGAGTAATACATTTTTTGTATTGATCATCTAATACCCAGAGGATGTAAAGTTC